CTGAGCTGCAGCTTCTTACTCCCACATTAAAATAAGACTGGATATGAATTTGTTTTTTGAGTTCTTGCCTTGAAGGGTGATGGGGCTCAGCCAGCCTGGGAACCACTGAGGTCAGGGACAGCTCAGGGCAGGAAATGGTTTTAAATCACATTTAAGGTGTTTTTTGTTTTTCTCTCAGAAAGAAAAATATGTTCATTATGAGACCTGCTGGGAGTTCCATGGCGTTTTCTCTACCACGGGGCAGTGTCGGGGAAGATTAGGATGTGGGTCATGGGTCAGCATAANTAGGATGTGGGTCACGGGTCAGCATAATAACATGCTGAGTGTTTGCTCTCTCAAACTGTGCCCCAGGCTGATTTCTTGGAGTAAATGATGGAACCCAGTTTTTCTAATTTAGACATAAAGTAGCATGCACATGGTATTGGGGTCTGGTGCTATTTTGGGGAAAGCCACAGAACAGGCTTGAGGCCACACAGCCAGGAACGGGTCCGCAGTCCAGCCCAGGGCGGGTCCCATACAGGAGCCACTGCCTGCTGCTGGGCACAGATGTCACTGCTCACACCACTGAGTCCCCTGTGCAAGACCCTGGCCCCGCGGCTAGGACTGCTGTCTGCTGCTCCTGGCACCAGACACTGTTCTGCCTCTCCTACCTCCCCTGCCACATGCACTCTGCAAAGTCCCAGCCCCTCTGTCACCACGTCCTGAGTCAGAGTCAGCATGTGGTCACCTGATGCATGAATGTCAGGGGGCTGGGTTCCCTCTTTTATGGAGGGCCATGGTCTCTGCCTCCCACCAAGACCCTTTACCTGTGGAATTCTCATGTGGGAAGAGAGGTTGCGGGGGTGAAGGGTGGAGAAGAGGGACCAGTTGCAAATCTTGGGGCACATCTGAGCTGGAACTTTCTCAGTACTTTGCAGGCACTCAGGTTTGGCTGGAAGAGTGGAGGAATAAATGACATGTTTCTACTCATTCCCTTGATTCTACGTTATTGAATCCAGCTTTACTCTGATTTGTACTCTCAGATAAGAGAGTGAGGTGGTGAAGTGATTATCTGCCTTTGTCTCTTACTTGGGTAGAGCGCCCAGGTTTGGAAGACTAGCGGCTCTGTGTGCACTGATGTCACATTCATATTTATATTTCCTTATATATTTATGTATACATGCAAATATTTCTGGGAGAAAATCTCTAACATTTATCACTTTTTATTGGACAGTCTCAAAGGACTAAAATCCAAAACATGTTCCCCATGTCAACGAAGTTCTACTCAAAGTCTGGTCCATAACCAGCTGGTGGCAGACCGAGGACATGGTGCAAATGCCTATATTTGCTGATCTTGAGCTCTGGGGTGAGAGGAGATTGAGCATTACTTGCTGATTCTCTAAATTTCCCTGTGGGACTGTGAGGGATGTTTTCCTTCACCCAACCAGCTATCTGATCCCCTGACACCAGCTAGGTGTCCTGCGACACAGAGTCAGGGCTCCGTCCCACAAGACCGCCCTCACTTAACATACAAGTCACAGTTTCAGATCCCCATGGCACCTGCACTTCTGTCCAACTTGGCTACGTGGGTTAGGGGTCCCCCTCTCCCAAGTTCAATAATTTGCTAGAACAGCTGGTACAACTTGGGAAAATGCTGTCTTACTGTTACAGTTTCTGATAAATGATGCAGGTGAGCAACCAGATGAAGAGAGACATGGGAAGCGGGAAGGAAGGGTCCCGAGGACAGAAACCTCTGTCACCGCGGAGCTGGAATGTGTCACACCCCCTCCAGCATGTGGATGTGGTCACTGCTTCAGATTGTTGGGGTTTTATGGAAGTTTCCCTGCGTAGACAGGATCGATGAAGTCTCTGGCCGTTGGTGATGAGCTCCAACTCCGGCCGCTCTCCCAGAGGGTGGGCAGTGAGCCTGGAAGTCCAGCCCCTCATCAAGGGAGGTCTTTCTGGTGGCCACCCCAATCCTGGAGGAATCCAGGACCCTCAGCCAAGAGCCCTCTCATTAGCATCCCAAAGACACTTGTCACTCTGGAGATTCCAAGGGTTTTAGGAGCTCTGTGCCAGCAACCAGGGGCAAAGACCCAATATTCTCTGTGATACCGCAGGTCTTTCACCACAGATCCATTAATAGCAAAAGTATCCTAACAGCTGAAAAAGGTTGGTGTTGCCGGTGGAAATGAAGTCTTTTCACAGGATCACAAGGAAAGCATTTCAGGGAGCCACATATGGGAGGATGTGGTAAGATTTATTGTGGTTGAAATGGAAGGCTTCTTCCAGGTGCCTGATGTCCCATCTCCGTCTATCCTGGTGTGAAAAAAGTTCAACCTTGTCTTCATCAAGCCCAGGACAGCCCAGCTGGGAGAGGCTCAGTGGTTGAGCATCGACCTGGGATCCAGGAGATCATAGTTTGATTCCCGGTCAGGGCACATGCCCAGGTCTCGGGCTTGATCCCCAGTCAGGGGCGTGCAGGAGGCAGCCGATCCATGACTCTCACTGATGTTTCTCTCTCCCTCTCTCTCTCTCCCCCCGCTTCCTCTCTCTGAAATCAATAAAGATCTAATTAAAAATAAATAGAAAAATTTAAAAAGTCCAGTACAAAGGCCAAGGTCCAAAAGAGCTATGCCATGCCGAAGCTCAGTTCAGTTTAGTCCATGTCTGTCCCCATCCAGCTAGCATAATCTGTTCCCAGCTGTGCTCTGGTGGCACTATAACTGCCACAGCCCAAGGCAGCCACTAGGGCCCCATGGCTGCTATGGAGAGAGAACATGTGAACGAAGGGGGAGATAGCGTTTGAGAGAGAGACAGAGACAGAGAGACAGAGAGAGAGCTCTTTGTTAAGCTTGGGTTATATTATCTCAGGCTTGGAGGACCAGGTGCCTTTTCAAACTAACCAATCAATTTCCCATCTTTCAGGGGCTGGGGCTGCCCTCCCCCCCAACCACTCGGTTTGTGATATTGTAGTGAAATGGATTACAGCGTCATTTCCTAATGCAAAGTGAGATGTGTGGGAAGAAAATATACAATTCTTTAATTAAAATTATTTCCCACTGACCTACACTTTGAGCGTTTCATGAAATAACTAAATGTTGTCTACCCCTCACCCCCAAATAAACTCCTGGGGCTCTGTGTCCCTTACCCTATGCGCTCCTTTTCCCAGGCGGCACACTCCCTCTTGTGGTCGCCCTCTTGGTGCCCGGCACGTGCCTCCTAGTGGCAGCACCTTCTCCGGTGTCATCTTGGCTCCTGCTGCGTGGCGCCCTGTCCCTTCCCCTAGTAATCTGTGGGAACCCCATGGCGCTTCCCGGGGAGCGTGCGAAGCTGCAGCTTCCTAGCGAAGCAGGCCCGGTGTTGCATCCGGCTTCCCCTAGTGGAGCATTCAGTAGTCTAGTCCCTCGCCCTCTTGCATGAAAATGACTCCCAGGGTCTTTCCCCTCAGGTCTGCAGGCTCCATTTGATCTCCTGCGGTTCCAAAAGCAGGAAAGGCCTCGGCTGTTTGTGGCTTCACCCTTCCAGGCATCGGCTATAATTGAGCTAAGAGACAGCATCATGTCTTGCTCACAACCCTTTGAGGTGCTGATGTAATGCTGGATTTCACTCCTCACATAACTGATTCATTCATTCGTCCCCCCACAACTAGCGGTCCTCCTCCTGCCCACATGTGCTACACTTTTCACCCTTGGATGGGACATGAGCTTTGGCTGCTGAGCTGGTCTAGACCATAGGCAGCAGGACCTGACCATCCCGGTGCAGAGGGAGGGTCCCCAGCGCAGGGCTAGTGGCAACTGAACACCAGGGGGACAGCCCCGTGGGAATCTGACACAGGTGAACAACACAGTTACAGCCTCTTGCTCGGAAGCCATCCCCGTTACTGGCCCTAGGAGTTGCAGCCCCTGCTGGGGCGAGTGTCAGGGGCAAGGAAGGAAGGGGAGGTGAACTGCAGTCACTACCATGCCCTCCCACCGGGGAAGAACTGTGCAGTCACACCTGCCCTCCCAGAGGAAACGCCCAGCGGGGACACCCTGCAGCCGGTCAGGCGGCTGAGCACACACACTCATTAAGGAGTGTCAGCAGCCCTCTGCCCTCCAGTCCCTCCACCCCGTCTAGGCACCAATGTTTCAATGGCCCAGGCCAGTTCTCTACCAAACAGCTCCTCTGAGGAGGACACCTCTCTGCCATGTCGACACTATGGGCTGTGAGGGATATTCTTTGGTCTGAAGAGATGTGCTTTGCTTTTTGGGTCCTTCTATATTTCCTGAGCATTTGCGTGGACCATGGGTAAGCCAAGCCCAGGTGCAGTGTCCATTCCTGCCAAGACCCATTTCTAGCTGCTGCCCTGCAGTTTCCAGCACCATCTGACTTGCCAGCCATGTTCGAGGCCTTCCCACCAGGGCATCTGCCACCCAGCCTTCTGCAGCGTCTGGCTCTTTTGCCAGCACACA